TTCACAACATTAACAGACTGACACAGATTCCTTTGAAACACATCACGTCTGCACTGCTCCACCTGCTCCTCCTGCTCCACCTGCTCCTCCTGCTCCACTGCTCCTCCCTGCTCCACTGCTCCACTGCTCCACCTGCTCCCACTGCTCCTCCTGCTCCACTGCTCCTCTGCTGCTCCTGCTCCTCCTGCTCCACTGCTCCTCCTGCTCCTCCTCCTGCTCCACTGCTCCTCCTCCTGCTCCACCTGCTCCTGCCTGCTCCTCTCTGCTCCTCCCTGCTCCACTGCTCCTCCTGCTCCTGCCTGCCCTGCTCCTGCTCCTGCCCTGCTCCCTGCTCTCCTGCTCCACTGCTCCTCCTGCTCCTCCTGCTCCTCCTGCTCCACTGCTCTCCTGCTCCTCCTGCTCCTCTGCTCCTCTGCTCCTCCACTGCTCCACTGCTCTGCTCCACCTGCTCCTCCTGCTCTGCCCTCCTGCTCCACTGCTCCTCCTGCTCCTCCTGCTCCACTGCTGCTCCTCCTGCTCCACTGCTCCTCCTGCTCCACTGCTCCACTGCTCCTCCTGCTCCTCCTGCTCCACTGCTCCTCCTGCTCCACTGCTCCTCCTGCTCCACCTGCTCCACTGCTCCTCCTGCTCCACTGCTCCTCCTGCTCCACTGCTCCTCCTGCTCCACTGCTCCTCCTGCTCCACTGCTCCTCCTGCTCCCTCCTCTGCTCCTCACTGCTCCTCCTGCTCCTCCTGCTCCACTGCTCCACTGCTCCTCCTGCTCCACCTGCTCCTCTGCTCCACTGCTCCTCCTGCTCCTCCCTGCTCCTCCTGCTCCTCCTGCTCCCACTCCTCCACTGCTCCTCCTCCTCCTGCTTCCTCCTGCTCCCTGCTCCTCCTGCTCCACTCTCCTGCTCCTCCTGCTCCACCTGCTCCACTGCTCCACTGCTCCTCCTGCTCCCCTGCTCCTCCTCCTGCTCCTCCTGCTCCTGCTCCTCCTGCTCCTCCTGCTCCACTGCCTCCTCCTGCTCCTCCTGCTCCACTGCTCCTCGCTCTCCACTGCTCCTGCTCCACTGCTCCCTCTCCACTGCTCCCTCCTGCTCCTCTTCCTCCCTGCTCCACTGCTCCTCCTGCTCCACTGCTCCTCCTGCTCCACTCCCTGCTCCACTGCTCCTCCTGCTCCTCCTGCTCCTCCTGCTCCTCCTGCTCCTCTGCTCCACTGCTCCACTGCTCTGCTCCTCCTGCTCCACTGCTCCTCCTGCTCCTCCTGCTCCACTGCTCCACTGCTCCACTGCTCCTCCTGCTCCTCCTGCTGCTCCACTGCCACTGCTCCTCCTGCTCCTCCTGCCTCACTGCTCCACTGCTCCTCCTGCTCCTCCTGCTCCACTGCTCCTCCTGCTCCACTGCTCCTGCTCCTCCTGCTCCTCCTGCTCCTCCCTCCTGCTCCACTGCTCCTCCTGCCTCCTCCTGACTGCTCTCCTGCCTCCTGCTCCACTGCTCCTCCTCCTGCTCCACTGCTCCTCCTGCTCCTCCTCACTGCTCCTCCTGCTCCTCCCACTGCTCCACTGCTCCTCCTGCTCCACTCCTCCTGCTCCACTGCTCCTCCTGCTCCTGCTCCACTGCTGCTCCTCCTGCTCCACTGCTCCACTGCCTCCTGCTCCTGCTCCACTGCTCCTCCTGCTCCACTGCTGCTCCACTGCTCCTCCTGCTCCTCCTGCTCCACTGCTCCTCCTGCTCCACTGCTCCACTGCTCCTTCCTGCTCTGCTGCTCTCCTGCTCCTCCTGCTCCTCCTGCTCCTCCTGCTCCTCCTGCTCCTCCTGCTCCTGCTGCTCCACTGCTCCACTCCTGCTCTGCTCCTCCTGCTCCACTGCTCCTCCTGCTCCTCCTGCCCACTGCTCCACTGCTCCTCCTGCTCCACTGCTCCTCCTGCTCCCACTGCTCCTCCTGCTCCTCCTGCTCCACTGCTCCTCCTGCTCCTCCTGCTCCTCCTGCTCCTCTCCCACTGCTCCACTGCTCCTCCTGCTCCTCCTGCTCCACTGCTCCTCCTGCTCCTCCTGCTCCTCCTGCTCCTCTGCTCCACTGCTCCTCCTGCTCCTCCTGCTCCACTGCTCCTCCTGCTCCACTGCTCCTCCTGCTCCACTGCTCTGCTCCACCTGCTCCTCCTGCTCCACTCTCCTGCTCCACTGCTCCTCCTGCTCCACTGCTCCACTGCTCCTCCTGCTCCTCCTGCTCCTCCTGCTCCACTGCTCCTCCTGCTCCTCCTGCTCCACTGCTCCTCCTGCTCCACTGCTCCTCCTGCTCCACTGCTCCTCCTGCTCCTCCTGCTCCACTGCTCCTCCTGCTCCACTGCTCCTCCTGCTGCTCCACTGCTCCTCTCTCCTGCTCCACTGCTCCTCCTGCTCCTCCTGCTCCACTGCTCCTCCTGCTCCACTGCTCCTCCTGCTCCACTGCTCCTCCTGCTCCTCCTGCTCCTCCTGCTCCACTGCTCCACTGCTCCTCCTGCTCCTCCTGCTCCACTGCTCCTCCTGCTCCTCCTGCTCCACTGCTCCTCCTGCTCCTCCTGCTCCACTGCTCCTCCTGCTCCACTGCTCCACTGCTCCACCTGCTCCTCCTGCTCCACTGCTCCACTGCTCCTGCTCCTCCTGCTCCTCCTGCTCCACTCTCCTCCTGCTCCACTGCTCCTCCCTGCTCCTCCTGCTCCACTGCTCCTCCTGCTCCACTGTTCCTCCTGCTCCACTGCTCCTCCTGCTCCTCCTGCTCCTCCTGCTCCTCCTCCTCCTCCTGCTCCTCCTGCTCCTCCTCTCCACTCCTCCTCCTCCTGCTCCTCCTGCTCCTCCTGCTCCTCCTGCTCCGGTGTGTCCGCGGCCCCGCGCACCTCTTTCCCTCCATGACACATGTTCTCCGGGCTTGTACCAGGACCAGTGCGATACGCGCCACAAACTCCTTTTCTCCCGGAGTTTTACGACGCTGCGGCCGGTGTCTGCGTTGTTCCCCGCACACTGTCGTATCATTCCGCGCTCTCCTCGGTTCACCGCGGCCTCTCGTGTCGCCACACCCGCTCTACCGGAGAGTTCACGTGTCGCACTGTTACCGCGGCGCGGCCTCGTCTGGACCCGGGTCCGTCCGGCTCAGCTCGGGTCACCGACACCGCGGTGCCTCCAGGGATTCGGCCATTTCCCTCACGTGCTCATGTAAACAAGCCGATGCCGGTCTCAATGCGCATGCGTGAGCACAGATAACAGCGCGGTTCTGTTACGTTTAACATCCTGCGTTTACGTGTAAGTGCGAGACTTACACAGACACACAAACAAACAAATAAATAAGCTATCCTACAAACTGTATTACAACGGGGAAAAAATATAAAAATGACTTAAAAACAAACAAACAAACAACAAAAACAACAGGTGACTTACTCTCTTGTGGAGTGAATGGACCAGTGCTTCATCTGTGTCTGCGGTGTAGAAACATTTGAAAATACAACATTTACATGTAATATCCTCCCATCTACAGTAAAGCACAAACTCATTTCAATCTACAACAGGCTGTTGTACAAAAAGTTCTTACTAACTGTAATATTTTTTGTCCCACAAAGCAGTCGACAGTTATGACGTGTAATTGTGAAAACAAGAAGCAGTTGTAAAAGTTACTGTAGAAACTACAGAAATGTGTTACTGTGGGGTTTAGACCTGGTTTAGTCCTGGTTTAGTCCTGGTTTAGTCCTGGTTTAGTCCTGGTTTAGTCCTGGTTTAGACCTGGTTTAGTCCTGGTTTAGTCCTGGTTTAGTCCTGGTTTAGTCCTGGTTTAGTCCTGGTTTAGTCCTGGTTTAGTCCTGGTTTAGACCTGGTTTAGACCTGGTTTAGTCCTGGTTTAGACCTGGTTTAGTCCTGGTTTAGTCCTGGTTTAGACCTGGTTTAGTCCTGGTTTAGTCCTGGTTTTAGTCCTGGTTTAGTCCTGGTTTAGACCTGGTTTAGTCCTGGTTTAGACCTGGTTTAGTCCTGGTTTAGTCCTGGTTTAGACCTGGTTTAGTCCTGGTTTAGTCCTGGTTTTAGACCTGGTTTAGTCCTGGTTTAGTCCTGGTTTAGTCCTGGTTTAGACCTGGTTTAGACCTGGTTTAGTCCTGGTTTAGACCTGGTTTAGTCCTGGTTTAGACCTGGTTTAGTCCTGGTTTAGACCTGGTTTAGTCCTGGTTTAGACCTGGTTTAGTCTGGTTTCTGGTTTAGTCCTGGTTTAGTTTAGACCTGGTTTAGACCTGGTTTAGACCTGGTTTAATCCTGGTTTAGTCCTGGTTTAATCCTGGTTTAGTCCTGGTTTAGTCCTGGTTTAGTTTAGTCCTGGTTTAGTCCTGGTTTAGTCCTGTGTTTAGTCCTGGTTTAGTTTTAGTCCTGGTTTAGTCCTGGTTTAGTCCTGGTTTAGTCCTGGTTTAGTCCTGGTTTAGTCCTGGTTTAGTCCTGGTTTAGTCCTGTCCTGGTTTAGTCCTGGTTTAGTCCTGGTTTGGTTTAGTCCTGGTTTAGACCTGGTTTTAGTCCTGGTTTAGTCCTGGTTTAGACCTGGTTTAGTCCTGGTTTAGACCTGGTTTAGACCTGGTTTAGTCCTGGTTTAGTCCTGGTTTAGACCTGGTTTAGACCTGGTTTTAGTCCTGGTTTAGTCCTGGTTTAGACCTGGTTTAGTCCTGGTTTAGTCCTGGTTTAGTCCTGGTTTAGTCCTGGTTTATCCTGGTTTAGTCTATATTTAGTCCTGGTTTAGTCCTGGTTTAGTCCTGGTTTAGTCCTGGTTTAGTCCTGGTTTAATCCTGGTTTAGTCCTGGTTTAGTCCTGGTTTAGACCTGGTTTAGTCCTGGTTTAGTCCTGGTTTAGTCCTGGTTTAGTCCTGGTTTAGACCTGGTTTAGACCTGGTTTAGTCTAGGTTCAGTCCTGGTTCAGACCTGGTTTAGTCCTGGTTTAGTCCTGGTTTAATCCTGGTTTAGTCTATATTTAGTCCTGGTTTAGTCCTGGTTTAGACCTGGTTTAGTCCTGGTTTAGACCTGGTTTAGACCTGGTTTAGTCCTGGTTTAATCCTGGTTTAGTCCTGGTTTAATCCTGGTTTAGTCCTGGTTTAGTCCTGGTTTAGTCCTGGTTTAGTCCTGGTTTAGTCCTGGTTTAGTCCTGGTTCAGTCCTGGTTTAGTCCTGGTTTAATCCTGGTTTAGTCCATGTTTAGTCCATGTTTAGTCCTGGTTTAATCCTGGTTTAGTCCTGGTTTAGTCTATATTTAGTCCTGGTTCATCAGTTCTTTTTTGTCCCACAGACTCCGCCCACATTAGACACGCCTCCATTTGGTCCCAGTCCGGCTCTAGACTCTGGACCCGCCTCAGACCCGGGTCCCTGGTCGGTCTCGGGTCCCTGGTCCGGGCTCAGTCGTCTCAGTCCGGGGGATCGGGTATGAATGTGTTTGACCGGAAGATGAAGCGGCGTCAGCGGGAGTGGGCGGCGGCTCAGAGCGACGCCGCGCTCTTCGACTACGTCCGGGAGGAGGTCAGGACGCACTTTTACTCACACTCACCGCGGGGGGTCTTAGTCTTGTCCTAGTCTTTTTTTAGTCTTGTTTTAGTCTTTTTTTAGTCCTGGTTTAGTCCCGGTTTAGTCTCGGTTTAGTCCTGGTTTAGTCCTGGTTTAGTCCTGGTTTAGTCCTGGTTTAGTCCCAGGGTTGGCTCTGGTTTAGTTTTTTGTCCTGGTTTAGTCCTGGTTTAAACCCTGGTTTGGGTCCTTGTTTCCTTGGGTTTTTGTGTGCTTGAGTTCTTACTTAGGTCCTTGAGTACTTGGTTTCTTGGGTCCTTGAGTTCTTGGGTCCTTGGGTTTTGAGTTTTTGGGTCCTTGTTTCCTTGGGTTCTTGAGTCCTTGAATTCTTAGTTCCTTGGGTTCTTGAGTCCTTGGGTCCTTGGGTTCTTGAGTCCATGGGTCCTTGAGTCCTTGGGTCCTTGGTTCCGTGGGTTCTTGAGTCCTTGAGTTCCTTGGGTTTTCAGTTTTTGGGTCCCTGTTTCCTTGGGTTCTTGGGTTCTTAGTTCCTTGGTTCCTTGGGTTTTTGAGTCCTTGGGTCCTTGAGTCTTTGGTTCCTTGGGTCCTTGGGTTTTGAGTCCTTGGGTTTGTAGGTCCTTGGTTCCTTAGGTTCTTGGTTCCTTGGGTTTTGAGTTTTTGGGTCCTTGTTTCCTTGGGTTTTGAGTTTTTGGGTCCTTGTTTCCTTTGGTCCTTGGGTTCTTTGGTCCTTGGGTTCTTGAGTCCTTAGGTTTTTGAGTTCTTGGGTTCTTGAGTCCTTGGATTTTTCTAAACCTCTGGTGTTCTGCAGGTGGGCAGTCGAGTGGCGGACCGGGTCTACGACATCGCGAGGTCAGTGAGTCTTAAGACCTGGATTAGTTCTGGTTCACTAAACCAGAACTAAACCAGGACTAAACCACAGACTCTGGTTTGTGTCTCAGGTCTTTCCCTTTGGCTCTGGACCTGGGCTGTGGGCGGAGCTTCATCGCAGATCACCTGACCACAGTGAGTCCAACCTGCCCCCAACCTGAAAGTTCCACAGTGCAGCTTTAAATCTGATTGAACTGATTTTTTTTTTTCCAGGACGTGGTGGAAAAACTGTATCTTACAGACACCTCCCCCAACTGTCTGGTGAGAACTAAACCAGGACTAAACCAGGACTAAACCAGGACTAAACCAGGACTGAACCAGGACTAAACCAGGACTGAACCAGGACTAAACCAGGACTAAACCAGGACTAAAACCAGGACTAAACCAGGACTAAACCAGGACTGAACCAGGACTAAACCAGGACTAAACCAGGTCTGGTCTTGTGTTCCAGAGGCGTCTCAGACCCAGTGAAATCTCGTCTCGTCGTGTTTTGGCCGATGAAGACTTTCTGCCGTTTAAAGACGACACGTTCGACCTGGTCCTGAGCAGCATGAGGTAAACCTGCCCCCAACTGCCCTATCTGCCCCCCAACCTGCTCCAAACCTGCCCCAACTGTAATCATAGTGTAATCAGTGTAATCAGAGTGTAATCAGAGTGTAATCAGAGTGTAATCAGTATAATCAGAGTGTAATCAGTATAATCAGAGTGTAATCAGAGTGTAATCAGAGTGTAATCAGAGTGTAATCAGAGTGTAATCAGTATAATCAGAGTGTAATCAGAGTGTAATCAGAGTGTAATCAGAGTGTAATCAGAGTGTAATCAGTATAATCAGAGTGTAATCAGTATAATCAGAGTGTAATCAGAGTGTAATCAGTATAATCAGAGTGTAATCAGAGTGTAATCAGAGTGTAATCAGAGTGTAATCAGAGTGTAATCAGAGTAATCAATCAGTAATAATCAGAGTGTAATCAGAGTGTAATCAGTGTATAATCAGAGTAATCAATCAGAGTATAATCAGTATAATCAGAGTGTAATCAGAGTATAATCAGAGTGTAATCAGAGTGTAATAATCAGAGTGTAATAATCAGTATAATCAGAGTGTATCAGTAATCAGAGTGTAATCAGAGTGTAATCAGTGTATAATCAGAGTGTAATCAGAGTGTAATCAGAGTGTAATCAAGTCAGAGTGTAATCAGAGTGTATAATCAGAGTGTAATCAGTATAATCAGAGTGTAATCAGATCAGAGTGTAATCAGAGTGTAATCAGTGTAATCAGATCAGAGTGTAATCAGTATAATCAGAGTGTAATCAGAGTGTAATCAGAGTAATCAGATCAGAGTGTAATCAGAGTGTATTATCAGAGTGTAATCAGTATAATCAGAGTGTAATCAGTGTAATAATCAGAGTGTAATCAAGTATAATCAGAGTATAATCAGAGTATAATCAGAGTGTAATCAGAGTGTATTCAGAGTGTAATCAGTATAATCAGAGTGTAATCAGTATAATCAGAGTGTAATCAGTATAATCAGAGTGTAATCAGAGTGTAATCAGAGTGTAATCAGTGTAATCAGAGTGTAATCAGAGTGTAATCAGAGTGTAATCAATCAGAGTGTAATCAGAGTGTAATCAGTATAATCAGTATAATCAGAGTGTATCAGAGTATAATCAGAGTGTAATCAATCAGAGTGTAATCAGAGTGTAATCAGAGTGTAATCAGAGTGTAATCAGAGTATAATCAGAGTGTAATCAGTATAATCAGAGTGTAATCAGTATAATCAGAGTGTAATCAGTATAATCAGAGTGTAATCAGTATAATCAGAGTGTAATCAGAGTGTAATCAGAGTGTAATCAGAGTGTAATCAGAGTGTAATCAGAGTGTAATCAGTATAATCAGAGTGTAATCACAGTGTAATCAGAGTGTAATCAGTATAATCAGAGTGTAATCAGAGTATAATCAGAGTGTAATCAGTATAATCAGAGTGTAATCAGTATAATCAGAGTGTAATCAGAGTGTAATCAGAGTGTAATCAGAGTGTAATCAGAGTGTAATCAGTATAATCAGAGTGTAATCAGAGTATAATCAGAGTGTAATCAGTATAATCAGAGTGTAATCAGTATAATCAGAGTGTAATCAGAGTGTAATCAGAGTGTAATCAGAGTGTAATCAGAGTGTAATCAGTGTAATCAGAGTAATCAGAGTGTAATCAGAGTATAATCAGAGTGTAATCAATATAATCAGAGTGTCATCAGAGTGTAATCAGATCAGGAGTGTAGTCTGATTACGTGTCGTTCTTCTGTTTTAGTTTGCACTGGGTGAACGACCTGCCCGGAGCTCTCAGAGAGGTGAGCCAATCCTGGTCCCGGGTTAGTCCTGTTTTAGTCCTGGTTTAGTTCTGTTTCAGTCGTATTTTCTTCCTCAGGTGTGGCGCGTGCTGAAGCGGGACGGCGTGCTGGTGGCGGCGCTCCCTGGTGGTGATTCTCTGTATGAGTTGCGTTGTTCTCTTCAGTTGGCGCAGTCGGAGCGAGAGGGCGGAGTCTCGCCGCACGTCTCGCCCTTCACCGCCGTCACCGACCTCGGCAACCTGCTCGGGCGCGCCGGGTTCACCCTGCTCACCGTGGTACGGACCGGGACCGGGACTGGGACTGGACCAGGACTGGGACCAAGACTCAGACTAGACCAGGACTGGGACTGAGACCGGGACTGGGACCAAGACTCACACTGGACTGGGACTGGACTGGGACCGGGACTGGGACTGGGACCAAGACTCAGACTGGACCAGGACTAGGCCAGGACTCAGACTGGACTTGGACTGGGACTGGAACAAGACTGGACCAGGAACTGGACCAGGACTATACCAGGACTAAACCAGGACCAGACTAGGACCAGACCAGAACTGGACCAGGACTTGAGACTCTGATGTCTGTTTTTTTCAGGATACAGATGAGCTGCAGGTGCATTACCCTGGACTCATGGAGCTTTTAACCGACTTACAAGGTACAAGAAACTCACTTTAGACCTGGTGTAGTCCTGATTCAGTCCTGGTTCAGTCCTGGTTCAGTTCTGGTTCAGTCCTGGTTCAGTCCTGGTTCAGTCCTGATTCAGTCCTGATTCAGTCCTGGTTCAGTTCTGGTTCAGTTCTGGTTCAGTCCTGTTTGTGTTTCAGGGATGGGGGAGAGTAATTGTGCCTGGAACAGAAGATCACTTCTGCATCGAGACACGATCCTCGCAACCGCCGCGGTCTATAGAGGTGAGACCTGGTTTAGACCTGGTTTAGTCCTGGTTTAGACCTGGTTTAGTCCTGTTCTTGGTTTAGATCTCCGGTTCTTCTGTTTCAGAGATGTACGGAAACCCAGATGGATCTATTCCTGCGACCTTTGACCTCCTGTACATGATCGGCTGGAAACCCCACGACTCTCAGGTACCACAGGTTTGGTTTAGACTTGGTTTAGACCTGGTTTAGACCTGGTTTAGACCTGGTTTAGTCCTATTTTAGTCCTGGATTAACCTAAACTCTGTCCTCAGGCCAAACCTGCCAAACGTGGATCTGCCACTGTGTCTTTTGGAGACTTGTCCAAGATCTCGACCCCTGAGACCAGCTGAGACCAGGACCAGGACCGGGATCTGGACTCAACCAGGACCAGGACCGGGATCTGGACTCAACCAGGACCAGGATCCGGACCGGGATCTGGACAGAAGCAGGACCAGGACTGGTCCTGGATCTGGACTAAACTCGTAGATTGTGTTTGTGTAAAATGTGACTTGTTGAATTTTTTTATGGTGAATTAAATAAACTCCAAACAGAATTCTTCGTCATCGTTATTTAAAAAACAATTTAATTCACGTCAAGAAAACACAACGAGATTAAAAACTACAACTACACAAGAAGAAAAACTCAAATAAAATAAAAAGTGAAAGATAAAAACAGTTGTGAGTGATGTTGTTCTGTTATAAATATCTCTGTACATATTGTTTGTTTTTGTTGAAATCGTGTTTAAAATATCAGAACATTTTTTGAGTAAATTGTCCCGAACATTTGGACTTTTGGATTTCCTGTCATTTTCAGTGTTCATTTTTTTATTTTTTTTACTTTAATTTTATAAATCAAAGTTAAAAAAACAAAACATTGAAAAACTACAACATTTCTGTTGAAAACTGGAATTTATTTTTACTAAAGGCTTTATTCCAGCAAATTCTGTCAAAATTTGAGAATCATCAAAACCTGCAACACTTTTAATCTGAAACTAAAGCAGGACTAAAGCAGCTTTTTTTTGTTTTTCTGTTTTATTGTCACGAAATATTGTTTTATTTTGTTGTGAATTAAATTTTTAATCTGTTTTATTGATTGTAAATATTGTTATGTTTCATTATTAAAGTGAATTTTAGGTGAGTTTTTACATATTTCTTGTAAATATTGAATATTTTTGGTGAGTTTTTAGATATTTTCTTGTAAATATTGTGTGTTTTTAGATATTTTCTGTAGATATCGTTGTGTGTTTTTCGTGAGTTTTTCCGGTGCTTTTATTGTGAAGTCCCGCCGGAAGTGTCCGGTGCTGCGGTGCTGAGGAGAGCGCATCCTCCCTCCGCCCTGTGCCCGGGATCCCGTCTCCATCCGCGGCCACAAACCCCCCGCGGTCCCCCCCGGGTCACCGTCCAGGCTCCGGCTCCTGCCCCCGGGGCCCCCGAGCCTCTCATGGCCGCGGCTCCGAGCTCCGTCCCCGGCCGCTAGTCTCCGCTCGCCCCGGTCCCGGAGAAGAGGCTGCGGAGGCGGGAGGAGGATGGTGGATCTGACCGAACCGTGCGGCCTCCCCGGGGCCCAGAACCACGGGACCCGAACCGAGACCCGGACCGAGACCAAGTCCAAGCGGAGGAAACGGAAACGCGGAGGCCGAAAACGGAACAAACACAAGAACCGCGCCGCGCCGCTGCCCTTCCTGCCGCCCGAGGTGCACGAGCGAACCGAGTCTGGTGCCCCGCGCGGTTTAGCGACAAACACCGATCATGTTACGATTATTTTGCGTTTTAAAGCTAAAATAAACGCACGTATGTCACGAAAGAGCTTCAATAACACGTGATCTGTAAAGAAAACGCCGTATTTTTCACGTAAAAGTGTTTAAATACAAATACCTTCCCGACACTACAACGTCACACTGAATCTAAGTCACTGTTGATGCATTTTAATGTTTACTCGAAAAGTGTTAAAAGGGTTTAGAAGTTTCTGGTAATGTTTAAGTGTTGTTTGTTAAAGGAATTAATTAACTGTGATTCGGCACAGGTTATATTTATATAAATGCTTGAATAATGGAGCTAGACCAACATTTAGAACCATTTTTTTCTGCTTATGACATTGATAGACGCATTATACTGGAACCAGAACTAAACCAGAACTAAACCAGGTCTAAACCAGAACTAAACCAGGTCTAAACCAGAACTAAACCAGGACTAAACCAGGACTAAACCAGGTCTAAACCAGGACTAAACCAGGACTAAACCAGAACTAAACCAGGACTAAACCAGGACTAAACCAGGTCTAAACCAGAACTAAACCAGAACTAAACCAGAACTAAACCAGGTCTAAACCAGGACTAAACCAGAACTAAACCAGGACTAAACCAGGTCTAAACCAGGACTAAACCAGGACTAAACCAGGTCTAACTAAACAGGACTAAACCAACTAAACAGGTCTAAACCAGGTCTAAACCAAACTAAACCAGGACTAAACCAGGACTAAACCAGGTCTAAACCAGGTCTAAACCAGAACTAAACCAGGACTAAACCAGGTCTAAACCAGGTCTAAACCAGGACTAAACCAGGACTAAACCAGGTCTAAACCAGAACTAAACCAGGTCTAAACCAGAACTAAACCAGGTCTAAACCAGGACTAAACCAGGTCTAAACCAGGACTAAATTTGTTCATTTTCATATTTTCTCTTTTAGTTTGGATTAAATTTAAATGTTGTTTGTGTTTCAGGCTGAAGAAGGAAACATTGAATACAAGGTAAGAAACGACCAGGACTAAACCAGGACTAAACCAGGACTAAACCAGGACTAAACCAGGACTAAACCAAACCAGGTCTACTAAACCAGGACTAAACCAGGACTAAACCAGGACCAGGACTAAACCAGGACTAAAGGACTAAACCAGGACTAAACCAGGACTAAACTGGACTAAACCAGGACTAAACCTGACTAAACCAGGTCTACCAGGACTAAACCTGGACTAAACCTGGACTAAACCTGGACTAAACCAGGTCTAAACCAGGACTAAACCTGGACTAAACCTGGACTAAACCAGGACTAAACCAGGACTAAACCAGGACTAAACCTGGACAGAGGTAAGATCTTAAGACCGAGCCCAAGCCCTAAAATGTCAATCATTACTTCGGGTCGGGCTTCAAATAAATATATGTTTATAAAATGTTTGCTAAAACGATGTGTGGACACTAAACTAAGGAATACTTGTTATAAAATAAATAATATGGATAAAACAGAGAAGTAATGTAATGTAATTGCTATTTAACTACTAAACAGGATCACGTGACGCCCCCTCTTCATTTAATAATCAAGTCTGCATCTATTTTGACCTGGTGTCCCCAATATGGAGGAGCAAGAAGTTAAACTAAAGGCAGGAGAACTGAAAAGACAAACACGCACCGGTAAGAGTGAGGTGTGGAAAAGTGAAAATTGATTGTTGAAAATGCTACAGAAACTTGCGTTGGCTTCGCTGAATGTGTCAATGTGGCTTTGCTTCATACGAGAGCAAAAAGACCTCGACGCTGAGCACTGCTCCTCCTCCCGAGTCACTAAGAAAATATGACATTTCGGGTTTGCTTCAGGCTCGGGTCGGGTTTTAATACCCGCGGGTCGGGTCGGGTCGGGCTGGATTTTTTAGGCCCGATCTCACCTCTAAACCAGGACTAAACCTGGACTAAACCTGGACTAAACCTGGACTAAACCAGAACTAAACCAGAACTAAACCAGGACTAAACCAGGACTAAACCTGGACTAAACCAGGACTAAACCTGGACTAAACCCAGACTAAAAGAGGACTAAAACAGGACTAAACCCGGTCTTAAACCAGGTCTAAACCCGGTGTAAACCCGGTCTAACCCCGGTGTAAACCCGGAGTTAAACCCGGTCTTCTCCCGGGCTAAACCCGGTCTAAACCTGGTTTAAACCCGGGCTAAACCCGGTCTACACCCGGTCTTAACCCCGGTCTAACCCCGGTCTACACCCGGTCTACACCCGGTCTAACCCCGGTCTAACCCGGTCTACACCCGGTCTACACCCGGTTTAACCCCGGTCTACACCCGGTCTTAAACCCGGTCTTAAACCTGGTCTACACCCGGTCTAACCCCGGTCTAAACCCGGTCTTAAACCCGGTCTTAAACCCGGTCTAACCCCGGTCTACACCTGGTCTAACCCCGGTCTCCGGTCTGTGGTCTGTGGGCAGCTGAAGCTGGTGAGTCCGTCTTCGTACCGTTTCGAACACTTGGCGACGCAGTTGAAGTGGCGTCTGCAGGAGGGGCGGGGCCAGGCCGTCTACCAGATCGGAGTCGAGGACAACGGGCTCCTGGTGGGACTGTCCCCCGGAGACATGAGCGCGTCTCTGCACACGCTCAGCCGCATGGCCCACAAGTACTGGACCAGGACTATAACAGGACCAGGACCAGGACTATAACAGGACCAGGACCAGGACTATAACAGGACCAGGACCAGGATTATAACAGACTAACAGGACTAGACCAGGACTAACAGGACTGGACAGGACAGACCAGAACCAGGACCAGGACTATAACAGGACCAGGACCAGGACTATAACAGGACCAGGACTAGACCAGGACTATAACAGGACCAGGACTATAACAGGACCAGGACCAGGACTATAACAGGACCAGGACTATAACAGGACCAGGACTATAACAGGACTGTCCCCCGGAGACATGAGCGCGTCTCTGCACACGCTCAGCCGCATGGCCCACAAGTACTGGACCAGGACTGGACCAGGACTATAACAGGACCAGGACTATAACAGGACCAGGACCAGGACCAGGACTAGGACTATAACAGGACCAGGACTATAACAGGACCAGGACCAGGACCAGGACTATGACTATAACAGGACCAGGACCAGGACCAGGACTATAACAGGACCAGGACTATAACAGGACCAGGACTATAACAGGACCAGGACCAGGACTAGAACAGGACTAAACCAGGACTAGACCAGGACTAGACCAGGACTAAACCAGGACTGGACCAGGACTAGACCAGAACCAGGACCAGGACTAGAACAGGACCAGGACCAGGACCAGGACTGGACCAGGACTAGAACAGGACCAGGACCAGGACCAGGACTATTACAGGACCAGGACTAGACCAGGACCAGGACTAGACCAGGACCAGGACTATAACAGGACCAGGACTAGACCAGGACCAGGACTATAACAGGACCAGGACTAGACCAGGACCAGGACCAGGACTATAACAGGACCAGGACCAGGACTGGACCAGGACTGGACCAGGACCAGGACTGGACCAGGACTGGACCAGGACCAGTACTGGACCAGGACTGGACCAGGACTACAACAGGACCAGGACTATAACAGGACCAGGACTATAACAGGACCAGGACTACAACAGGACC